TGCTGCTGTACTGAGCATTGCAATATATTGATTTTCACTATGTCATTTATTTATGATTATCCTTGGGCTCAGCAAAGATTTGATGTCAGCTGTTGCTGTCTTTTTTTCTATAGTTAATACTGAAATAGAGCCCTGCTGTTTAGTCAGGGCCTTTTCTTTAAATATAATTTTAAAATGTCGATACAGTAGCCCCTTTATTTAAATGTCTATGCTTAAGTTTTTATCTCAATCTCAATCTTTATTTATTTATATAGCCCATTTAAAACAACCTTCAGTTGACCAAAGTGCTGTACAGGCAATACATATTAAATAACACAATGGGAGTACAATAATAAAACAATAATTAAAAACATGATAAAAAGCACAATAACTAGAAACATATTTAAAAAAAACACATACAAATGTAAAAATGTAATGTTCAACTAGTATTAAAAGCCAGTGCAAAGAGGTGCGTTTTTAGCTGAGATTTAAAAAGTTCAATAGACTCAGCAGTCCGGATATGTACTGGGAGGCTGTTCATCAGTCTAGGAGCTGCAACACTGAAAGCCCTGTCACCTCGGGTTTTTTATAGGTGTTGCTATCTGCTTTGTGTAGCGTGGTTCAAGCAAGTCAGTGCATTCATTGGGTGGTATCAGAGAGATACAAGGGTCTGTAAATGCAATGAAAACTGGCCACAGCAAATAATTGATATTAAACATGTAATTTTTACTTTTGAATACTTCAGTACAAAGGATGTATTGAATAATTTAAGTGATATGTGTACATATATAAATCATGAGTCAAAACAGGGCTACATTTGATTGAATTATAAAAGGTATAATATGTAGTAAACTGAAGAGCCGTTTGGGAGCCGAAAGAGCCGGCTCTTCTTGGTGAGCCGAGCCAAATGATCCGGCTCACCAAGAAGAGCCGGAATTCCCATCACTAGCACCAACAACCAATCACATGAATCTCCCGCCCCCGACATACGAAGCAAAACAGTTTGAAGTAAACTGGATATAAACTCCCCAGACAGGCGAAAACCTACCACTCTCTCTGCCACCTCCCTCCATGCCTGGCTCCTCCGGTTTGTATCCCGGTAGGTAAATAGGGACTGGTCATAAAGCACCGGGTGATTCCCTACCGCTATAATTAATTTCTCCTCCATGTTTTTGGAATATGAGGAAATGACCTGCGGTATGTCTCTCCCAGCATACACGCCGTTTGATTGGCTAGCGCTTGAACTGTCAGATTTGCATACACGGGATTTGATTGGCTGCCGCTTCCACCTCAGCTTCAAAAGTTGAACATTGCTCAACTTTGAATCCTGAAAATCCTGAAAATCTCCGCTCTGCTGCCCACAATGCAGTTCGGCGAAAAGTGAGGCAAAGTGACGTCACCCCATTCAAAGTGAATGGGCAGAAGCGTTCCAACATTTTTTAACGCTGCTGTGTGGACGGGCCGTAAGTATGCCTTGATGTTTCTGAAGTCATATCTTGCATGTTCCTAGGTAGGTAAGCTTTTCAAAGAAACTACTACTGGAGTATTGTCACACGTTCATCAATCAATGCATCTCAAGATAACTAACAGTATCTACTTGCACTGAGCCTGTATGGAGTTCAAACATCATAGAGGTTAAATAAAGAGCTGAAATAACATGATTCAGAATAAAATGTTAAAATAAAAGTGTGTGTGGTCTTTTCAAAATGTTAAATCCAGTTAAACCTGCGGTGACAAACATTTCTCTCCACTAGAAGGAAGCAGAAACCAGTTAGGATCATATCTTTGACATATGATCTCTTAAAGGCCCTATTTGTCTAAGCTTCTTGGGGTTTTCACTATGAGAAAAATAAAGAGCTGTTGGAACATTAAAGCATGGACACATGTCACTATAGAGGCACACGGTAGAAATAGGAAAGTGAAAAGTGTGTGTGTTTTTTTTCCTAATTGTTAAATCAAGTTAAACCTGCAATGAGTAACATTTCTGGCCACTAGGGGGAAGCAGAAACCAGTTTATATCACACCTACTGTATGACCTCCAAGATAAGTTGATATTGTGAATATGATTGCGAATAAATGACTTATTTACATATCTAGCACACAGAGCAACATGATTAATCATTAGGAGACTTCTTGTTGTGTCCACCTGATGAACATGAGTCCAGTATTCTCTCTTTTAGCTCTGATGTTGGTTTCCACCAGCTCCCAAAGGGCTAAACATAGAATCTCACCAATTTCCCCAAATATTGTTCTTCTGGTGTAAACTGACCTGAGTCTGGCCTCGAGCAGAGAGTCTGCAGAGCTCATCCCCGACAGAGACCACGGTGCGTTCAGGGGTCTGCTCTGAGTCAGGAAACTCTCCAACTCGTCTTCATCCCTACGGTCACATCACAACACAACATTGGACAAAAATTAAGCTCTTTTTTTCACCAGAAGAAAATAACTAACTGTAGACTATTTTTTAAATCAAGCTGACAGTGTTCAAATACATTGTCTGTGTTTAGTTTATATAGAAAACATCAAGTGTGTGTTGTCATAACGAAGAGGAACGATGGAGGGTTTTCTTTGGTTAATTTTTGTAGTTTTTCAGCAGCGTTTGTGAGAGTTTTTCAGGTGAACGTACCTGACAGGAAGTGATGTGGCAAAGTGAAGGAGGGCCAACAGCAGGAACACCTGAGTCACACTGATGGACGGCATCATGAGGACGATGAAGATGAAGATGAGGATGATGATGATTTCCTGAGGAGACAATATAAAGAGAACTGAAAAACACGTCCTTTAACGTCCTTTTGGTTTGGCTTTATGTGTCCTGGAGATGTGTTGTACTGCAGCATTGAATATACATTTTAGACATGCGTTTGTTTCCAACACCTTTTTCTGTGACAACAAAACTAAAGACTCAATGTACAGCCAGGTTAGAAAAAAGGTTGTCCCAGTTTGGTTTGGGAAAAGCTGTCCTTCTTGAAATCATAGTGTGGTTAATCAAGATAATCCACATTTTGTTGTGAGCATTTTCACGTATAGGAACTAGTCTTTCTTCTATACTGTATTTTATGCTATTATAATTCTACTCCACCTTATTTTAGCTCTAGTTACTTACTTTAGATTCAGATTTTCAGCAATACGAAATACGAATCATCTTATAAAAAAACATTGACATACAATTTTAGGATATCCAGCAGCAGTGTGTAAAGTCGTTGAAATGAGCTCCACCTTAACCAGCTGTGATGAACATATAAATGCATCAATGAATATAATACAGGCATTTAATATACAGCAATATTCTGAAATGGGCCATTATGCTTAACGAGTACCTATATTTTAATGCTAATACTTTTTAACTTGTACTTAAGTTAGATTTTGAATGCAGGACTTTAACTCAAGTATTTTTACAATTTTCCAATCGCATACGTTTGGGTTAAATATGGCTTAAATAATTTCGGTTTAATGTTAGGGCCCTGATTCTACAGCTTCGATTATCATTATTGGACTGTACCATTTCACATACTGTATCTCCATCCTGTACTTGTATTGTTAAATGTTGGCAAATAAAACACATTGAGTTGCCTTTAAGGATGCCACTTCCTTCAGTCAAACGTAGACAAACTTCGAGACATTAAAAAGGATAAGTGGATTAAAATCCAATAGAAAAAACAACTTGATGCTTCTGAATTCATCCTGAGTTTTGTTTCAGGTCGCTACTGAAAAGAAACAACAGATCAAACCAATTAAAGCTTTCAAAATAAGTGTTAAGTTGTGCAGAGACTCACCTGGATGGATCCTGCTCAGAGAGACCTGTAGACTGGATGTTTGGATCCGAGTCGCCTCCTTTTGTACCGGCTCGGGTATCGAACCTGCGACAGACTTCCCTCTCATTTTACTGCTCTGATTATTTACCGTGTCCACACATCGAGTCAAAGACCCGACTTCCCTGTTTGTTCGCTCCCTGAAATCTTAATGAAATTATTGGATCTGACTTCCTTGATGAGCTCTAATCACCTGTGAGAGCCGCCTGCTGTTTGCTCACATTAAATCATTATCACGTCAATGCAGAGTATTGATCCACAAACACACTTTTCTATCTTTTTACTACTCGGATTTCTGCTTCTGTTTGCTCTGATTACAAATGTTGGGAAGTGACACGATTTAATAACGTCACATATGGGTCACAGAGGCCCATCTTAAATAAAATGTACTTTTATTTGTGATACTTTAAGGACATTTGGCTGATAAAATGTACTTATATTTGTCATACTTTAAGGACATTTGGCTGATAAAATGTACTTATATTTGTCATACTTTAAGGACATTTGGCTGATAAAATGTACTTATATTTGTGATACTTTAAGGACATTTGGCTGATAAAATGTGGGCTTATGTAGGAATTTGACTTCAGGAGTTGTTTTAACATTGTTGTATCAGTACTATCTTAATTATTCTACTAAAATCAGGACAATCTTTAAAAGCCCAAATGATAAATGTTCTTTAGCACCAGCCTAAATATCTAAAACAAACAAAAAACATCACTACTATCAAACTTCTGCTGGACTACCGAAGACAAAATAGAGAAATAGAGAACATTATCTGCAGATGAATCAACACAAAATACTGCAGATTAATAAAAAGTCATCTTAAATACAAAGACTTTATCAGCTAAGGTGTTTTATTGCAAAAGAGAAAGAAAGTCGAAAGTTTCTACAAATATATCCAGCGGGAAAAAAGGTTTGAAAAAATCTCCAAAAGGCTGCAGTGGTGAGAAATCATTATGGTCTAAAAGCCTGTTAGCCTTTGCAGACAGTTTACATGCACTAAAACCTAAATAACACTACAGGAAAGAGAAAACCCTTAAAAGCACAATAGGAGCTCTTTAAGGGTTTCAAAGTTAAGCTAAAAGACAGCTAGCATTGTTAGCTCATCAGCAACCGAGGCTTTCCTACATTATAACAACATTTTCATCCAAAAAAAGTAATACAAAAAACTCTTTCAGCTGTCTGAATCCAATAATGAAATCACAAGTCATGTACACAGAATAATTTAATATGTTTTTTATTCCTGAAAATTGAAACAGCTACAGTAGAAGGTAAAGATCAGGTACAGCTCAGATTACAGCTTTGAGGTCGACTGATTCACTAGATCAAACTAGTTTTCAGCATCAGATTAAACTACAGTGTCGATTAAAAAAGAAACATCACCTGTTAGTTAGAGGGGGTTTAAATTGGGAGAAACTAAAACTTCACCAAGCGAAAAACTTCTAATTTCAATAGTTTGTAATCACTTTAACGACGGGAACTAAAAGATGTACATTAGAGTTGATTTTGACATTTTTAGAGATAACGAATCAGAAAGATTATGAAGATTAATTAATGCTAAATAATCGTTTTTTGGAGTGCTAATGCTTAATTCTACATAGCAAAATACCTGAACAACTCTAGAAAATGTTCCATTACATCTTCAGCTCTGAGCTACCTCTGGGAAGCGGGATATAAAGTGATTTCTTTTAGTAATGTCTCTCCTTTTAAAAACATTCACAATGTCTAAATCTGAGCCGATAGTTTAGATGTTTATGTGTCAACTAAAATAAAGTAGCCAACAGGTGCATTCAATCCAAAACGGCTCAACTGCATGCAATGGGCGCTAGCGTTCATTTCAACCGCGCTCACACAAATCTCATTATGAATTCTATACACCTAAATATTTATATAAAAAGGGCAGTTTAGGGGTTTCTTTTGGATTGGTTGTTCCTCTGGGGCCAGTACATTTGGAGAAAACAATTGTCTTTGAGACTGATGCTCTTCCTAGAGGTTTTTCTGCGTCATGCTAACGTTGCACTGGAACAACAAACTAACTTTATCTTCTTATCCATGTCAGTTCTTTGTTTCCGGTCAGTATGGTTTGTAACGCGACATTTGCTAGCCGTAAGCCAGCTAGCTAAGACCTGTTAGCATCTGAGCTAGCTAGGGCACGTTCCTGGCAAAGTAGCATGTTAGCCCTTAGCTCATCAGCTACAGTTGCTACCTGCCAAGTATTTAGAGAAAACATGCTGTCAGTTTCAGGTTTGCACAATATAATACTGAAGCACAAACACATTGAATTTATAATAAGAGCCCGCTAAATGTTAATACATAATTGTATCCTCCTTTTAAAATCCACCTCAGTTATCTGTCATCAGTCGACCTCTGTTTGTACATTTGGTTTGTTGTTTGGAGGTTTTACAGCAAACATTCAGACTCTGATTGTACATCAATACAACGTTAGGAGATAAACCAACATGGTGGCGCAGCTAAAGGTCTTCACAGGTCCTCTCGGTTCTCGCTAACATTGTAATCAGTCTAATCAGAGCCCTGTTGTATTCTCCTAACGTCCAACTTCTTAATATCCTCTAGGTTTTATCAGATAAGTTCTGACGGCCCCCTTTAAATCCAGCCTGTTGTTGCTTGAGAATGAATGCATGAAGGCAGGGTTTTGGTAGGTCACTTTTTTCATTGGATCCAAGGTTGTGGACCTGTGAAGACCTCTAGGCTGAAATTGTCACGAACAGGCAGCTACATGTTTAAACCCCGGCTGGTATTTTGTCAGATTGTGAGGATTGAGAGAGAGCTGATTGGCTGCTGCTACGGGTTCCCTCCTCCATCAGTTTGAGTCCAGCTCGACGTCAGCAGAGAGGAAACAGGATTGCTTGTCAACAACACAAGAAGAAACACAAAAAACAAACAAAAACAGCATCTACAGTCTGACAGTCCAGTGCTGATACTCCACTTTCTGTCCAGTCAAAGTCTAAATAGTTTCCATTTAATCCATCTTGAACTCAGTCAGTTTTAAATTGATTTCTTCTATTTTAAAATTACAATCTCCCCTACAAGTTGCAACTTTTATTAACAATATCCTGGTGATTTAGAGCTTTTAGTGGAGCTATAAATGGCCAACCTATGTATTCGAACAAGAAAGTATGCTGGTATGATTTGCCCCTCTAAAAAGGTACACATAGCTGGTGACAATAACACATTGGCATTTTGGCATAACGTTTTTGTCCAAAAAGGTCTGAAATGGACCATCTGCCCTCAGGGTGGGGCTTAAGGAAAGGTCATGGGATCATACAAATCTAAAAAGGGATCATCCTCTTGAAAGCAGGAATGAGAACATGTCTTTTATCATGATCTGTGTGGACGAAAGGGACATGACGGTCCTGAGGCTTATTGGGAAGAACATGCAACTTCAATAATATAAGTAAAGATCATAATGCTGATGCATGTATTTTGACTGTATTTCCTAAAAAATGTCCTAACCCTACAGAGGCAGTCAACATCAGGCTACAACATGCTAAGAGCCGTCTGCTGTTAACGTCTAATCAAAAACCGAAAAATTCTTTGATCAGGTTTTTTGTGAGCAGATGGTGGGATATCAACACTGGACTTTACAATTGTCTTTCTTCAACAAAACCAGAATTCACAAAACCTTAAATCAATAATCTGAATCTTCCACTAATGCAATATTATTAATTATTAATATTTTGTGTGAAAAAAAATCTGCATTTTTCCCAGTGCGATTCAATGAAGGGGACATTTGTGGATAAATATTTAAAAATAGAGACCAGTCCGAAACAAAGCGGTGTGCTAGTTGACATTCTGGGATTTTAAAGTTTGCCAACTCACTGTTGTGTTGTAAAGTTGGAGAGGATGTTCTTCATTGGCAGGTGTTTTGGCACAGTGGTGATTTTTTTAATTGCATCGTTTTATAAACGGCAACATGTTTCTCCCAATGGATTGGTATATGACCGTTTAAGCGTGTTTGCACCTGTCGGCCTGTCGGTAAGTGATTTTTGTGGAAGATTCAGATGACTAACTTGAGGTTTTACAAAACAAAATAAACCTGACAGAGTATGTTTAAAACATAATGTTGCACCCAGAATAGATTGAAGTTACAGCTACATGTCCAGCTGACTTGAAGACAGTTTGAGTGAAATATTGTTAAAGCAGTTCTTTCCTGTGTTTACTAAGTTTCATTGCATATCGAGCAGAAATGGAAGATTGAAAACACTCAAGTGCACTGTTCAGCTTTCTCAGCCACAACCAGCTTGCTTAAATCAGAAATTAAAACACTTTTTTTCGTAATTGCTGGGAATTAAAGTATGCAAAAATACCATTTCATAGTTACGATTGAGTTCAGGTTCGGACTGGAGGAAAATCTATTGGCTCTGTTCGAGGAGCATGAAGTGGAAGTTATCTTCTCATAACTGAGGAACTAACGACGTGAGAATAAATCTCCTCTCAGCATTTTTTACCCCCACAAGTACTGACCATGTGAAGGGGATTTACTTTCTACTTTTCAAGAATGTGAATCAACCTCTGACCCCGAATGATCACATGACCGGCGGGTGTCTGGCGTCCGTAAATATGTAACAGATATTTCCAAATCCAGGATCACTTCAAATTAAATGTAAATGTGCAAAAAAAGCCAATATATTTCTGTAACAACTTCAAACAAGCTCAATAAAAAAACTATGAGATAATAGAAAAAAACGCCTCTAGATCAGATTTGAATAGTTTGATTTGATTAAATATAGATATAAGTCAACAGAGTATTTGAGTCTAAGGAGTGTCAGTTTGCAGTCTTATTTAGGGTAGTAAAAGAGGAGATTCAGAGGGGGCCACCAACAAAACAAGTCAAAAGAAAAAAAAACAACAATAAGCAACTTAAGTCTATATGAAGTGTCTAACTGACAGCAGTTTTGTAATCAAGTCAAAGCCAAAATCAAAGATGAAATGACTCAGACAATTAAGAAAAGTCCATAAGAAATATATATTTAGATAGTCGATTCATCAAAGTAAGAAGGTCATGTCTTAGTGTGATAATGTCAGAAAGTGCCATTTCCGGCCTCTTAAACATGGAGTTTTTCCTCTGTTTTAGGTTGTAGTGAATATCTTTGGGTTGTTTACTGACAATACAATACATTGAAGACTTTTTGAGAAACTGCAAAGGCATTTTTCACAAATGTTCTGAGTGATCAATCAACAAATCTAGAAAATAACCAGCAGAATAATGGATAATGAAAATAATTATTTAGTTGCAGCCTTAAAGACCACAACAGTTAGACGAGTCAGAGTCGAAATGCTCAAAGTACAAGGATGAGTTTAAGTTAATGTGGCCCAAAAGAAGTCGGAGGTATTTTAGCCCGCTCTAAAGTCACACAGAGAAACACTTAGGGTAACAAAACTAAGTCACAATCGGAGGATTACTATGAAAATATATCATAACAAGGCAGCACTGAAAATAAACCAGGGGCCAGACACCCGGCAGCCATTCAACCCCCAAAAGATTAAAAGCTGAGGGTGAAGATTTACTCTCTAACTTCCTGATTATTACTCTAAATCAGCTGCTAGTGTTCAGAGAAAATATTTAAAGCTGGTCTTGGCATTTAAACTACACTTCACTTCGTCTGTGAGGAATCTTTGACCTTTCAGAAAGTAACATTTCTCCTTTCCTCATTTTTTTGTTTTTTGTCGAGTAACAGCCCAACTCTTTGCTGAGTCGTTGAATCCTGAAGTGTCACATGATACGAGGGCTGGAAACAGGAAGTGGAGTCCAGTGTCTGACAGGTGGTGACGGGGCTCATATTGCACAAGGGTTGGTCATATCGTCAAACACCGTGGGCTCCTCGATCCCTCGTGCAAACAGCTTGATCAAGTTGCTGTGCACTCTGTGAGAACAAGACAAAACGAGAAGGCGTACATATGTTAACTAATAGATATCTACATAAAACTTCCCCAGTTAATGACTTGCAGTTAAAACCATTTTGTTGTATTACAAGTTTTCAGAAATGTTATTATTAAAGGGGACCTGTTATACGAATGGTCTGGCTAAAAAGGTATGTATTGTTAAATGCAACACTTTACAAAAGGTGAAAAGTGTTATTGAAAAAATCTCACTATGACACCTCCATAGTGGATTATATTTTATAGGACTTGACCTATTATGTTAGAAAACTTGAAAATGGGGCATTATATACAATTCTAACTGTTGGTGCATTTAGGAGAAATCTGCACATGCAAATTAGTAAAATAATAATTTAAAATGTGTAATTTAGATGGTATCTTTTTCACCAGCTAAAAAGAAGGACATGCTATTGAAGCCTAACAGCCTTAACTCTCATTTTTGTTTTAAAATATTTGAGAGTATCAACTTTAAAAGGCTCCCAGTGGGTGGTGGTACCTGACGTCGATGGCCGTGTGGGACAACATTAGTAAAATAATCATTTAAATGTGTAATTTCGATAGTATCTTTTCCACTGTATGTATAAATGTGTCTGTTGATTGTGTATATATATATATATATATATATATATAGGATATACATATTTGTATACATATTTTTATATATATTTGTATTTTTGTTCAATATCAATTTAAAAGGCTCCCAGTGGGTGGTGGTACCTGACATCGATGGCCGTGTGTGTCAGGATTTCGCCGTCGCAGTTCCAGCTGCTGTAGGCCGGCGCACAGCCGCAGGCCGGGTGATTTCTGCAGATCTGGCCGAAGATCTGGTGCTTCCCGTTCTCCCGCAGGTCCAGGTCCGAGTCGCTCTGGCAGTGACGGGGGGTGAAGCAGAAACGCCGTACCCGGTGGACCTCAACAAAGTTCAGGTCAAACTGGGAAACAAAGAAAGAAGGAGAAGCAGGCAGCACAGGCAGTATGAGAAAAATAAAGAGCTTTTTGAACATTAAAGCACAGAGACATGTCACATTAGAGACACTACTGATATACACCTGAAATAGGGCCCTTAAAAGAGTTTAGCACATTTGAGACTAATTCACCAGCATTTTGAATGGTTTGGCTTGTTTAAAGTTAATATTTAAGTTTTCTTTGGCTTCTCAGAGTCGGAGTCAATAGACCCATAAGTCAGAGAAAAGGCCCTAATGACAAAATAGTCCAAAAGTCCAACAAAAAACCCCATCTCTCAAGCAATGTACTTCTGCAAGGTAAAGATTGCGTTAATACTTAAAGGGGACCTATCATGCAAAATGCACTTTTGTACGTCTTTTATTCATGAATATGTGTCCCCGGTGTGTCAGGGAACTCACCAAGTGTCAGAAAACACAACCCTCTCTATTTTCCTCCATACCCAAATCTCTAAAAACGGGGCTGCAACGGATCTGATAAAAACTGATCCAGATTTGAAATTGTTCTGACGTCAGAAACAGGGAGCTCCGCCTATATGGCCAACTCTCCACCTATCAGGGGAATGAGAGGTTGCCGTGGCATGGTAACAGCATGGTAACATGACGCTCGTGCCTCGCCCCCCCTCCTTTGCAGGGGGGCGTGGTCAGCTGCAGCTCATTTGCCACAGAATCAGCCCTTGCAAAAACAGGGCTGGAAAAGAGCAAATAGAGCAAAATAAGGCATGGCTAAAATGCATGATCTGTTTGGTATTTTGAAAAAAAAAACTTCACAGACATGTTTTATATAGGTATGGCCCTACAATATATTATCCAAATATAGCATGATAGGTCCACTTTAAGTATACTTGAAAAAGTGTTTACGCTAAAAACAACAAACAAAGATGCAGTCTGATGAGAAGTCACATAATGTGTCACCTGGTCGTCTTTGCTGGTGTGTCGTAGGAGGTGTCTGAGGAAGTCGAAGCGGGAACATTTCCGCACCAGGATGAGGTCGGTGGTGCCGTCGGCTAGGTGAGCGGCAGGCGAGAGTCCTTTGGGGCTGCGAGGACACGCACAGCTCATACTGGCAGCGTTTATCGCCAGGAACTTCCCACGGATCGTCTTCCACTCGCCTTCACTTTCTGAAACCAAAACCCCATCAAAAGACAGATTTGAGCCATCATCAGAATCAGTGTCAGAATACCTTTATTAGTCCCACAGAGGGGAAATGTACATTGTTACAGCAGAGAAGACAGCTTAATGTTACCTAAGAAGCATGCGTAAATAAATAAATAAAGATAACAACATTTACAATTTAAAAAACACACATCCTGTAACAGTTCTGAGGATTTAGCAGCCAGGTATATATATTGCACAGACATCCTTTTAATGCTTCCAAAAGCTCCATCACTTAAAATCTTTGGTGCAAGTTTTAAAGGGTTTATTGGCTTTATTTAACGTAACATTTCATAGTTAAAAGACACTGTTTCAGGAGTTCAATCATAGTCAACAATAACTACATTTTGTAGCATCTAATATGACTATAAAACCAATGAGATACCGATATGGAGAAAAGAAAAAGAAAAGCCAATTAATTAATCTTAAAGAGGCCCTATTTAGCTTGTTGGGGGTTGCCCTTTCCTGTAATATGTTAGATAAGTTTGTATGCATGTAAATGGTCTGCAAAGGCTAAAATCCTAAAGTTCTCCCCCTGCTTCAATGTTAAAAAAATGCTTTATTTTTCTCAAATTGCCTGAGAAAAACTCAGTTTGGAAGGATTTTAGCCTTTACAGACCATTTACATGCACTAAAAACCTATGTATATAAAACCACAAAAAGCAAAAAAGAAGGTATTCTATAAATATTTTATGATAAAACTTGGGTTTTTAGTTTCTGGTTTGGTACCCCAGGGCTCCACTCATGGACCACTTTTATTTTCAAAAAAGACAACTCAGGGCATCTTGTAAGGTTTATTTAAATTACTTAATATTACTAAAGAAGCCAAGGTTCTCCTTGATCGCAAAATCAATTGTTTTGACAGGTATATCTAGACCTAAGACGGTTCAGTAACTTTCTGTATTTAAGAAGCTATGGATTATAAATGTGTGGACTCACCACGGTCTGTTTCTTCATCCATTTGGTACCTCTCAGCTTTCTCGGAAATTAGCCTCCTGTTGTGCTGACAAATTACACATCTGGAAACGTACAAACACATGGATGTTATTTAAAAAAAGATGAACAAATACAATTTTCTTCAAAACATAACCAGAACACATCTGTTTTAGATACTAAACTCCTCATCTGGTGTATCCGCTTAACACAATCATTAACTAGCCTCAAACAGGCTTAGCAGCTAAAGTTAAAGATTAGCTAACGTGAACTAGAGTTATCAAGATCAGAAATCCTTTATAAGTGTGTGTGTGTGCGTGTGTGTGTTCTGCCAGGGCCTGTGTTGATTGTACAGTCTGATAGTTGTAGGAAGGAAGACCCTGATGTATCTGTTACAGTCCTTATTTAATGTAATTTATATAAATAAATAACATTTTCACAGCCATAAATCATCACTCTCTATTTATATGAATAGTTATCACTGCATTAAACCGTATTTAATTTTGTCTTAATTTACATGATTTAATTTCTTATTCTGTTCTTTTAAAAACACAGATAGAAAACTAGAAAAATATTAAAAATAATAAAAAGTAGAGTAAAATATAACAGTATTTACTATTTACATAGAAATGGAATGGAATAAAATGGAATAAGAATTGGCAGTAATAAAAAAAAAAAAAACGGATATTGTTGTACATTGTGTGCATTAATGTAATGCGTGAGTGTGCATATGACTATAAAAACAATAAAACCTTTGAATCTTTGAATCTCTCTCACCCGGATCGACACCTGCCAGCGTCCCTTGGGGTTCCCATGATGCCTCTGGCCGGCAGGTAGGACACCGTGCCTTCGTAGTAATGATGAGTCAGGAACATCTTCACACCTGCAGGAGTCAGAGCGACATCAAGGGAGATAAATAATGGAAACTCCCTGTGTGTGTGGGGATGCAATATAATCTGTGATGACAATGAGGTTTTATGGTGCAATGGTGGGGATGTTTAGAGAATGTCCAAGAGAATTTAAGGGTGGGACCAGTTGGCTTTTCTCTATATAGCCAACAGTGTGACTGTAAGCTGTGTTCTGGGTGCAGAACTTCTCTATCCTCTGAGGATTAAGCTCTGTTCCTGCATTTGGGATCGATTTCACTTGTATATTGACTTTCTTTATTACTTTATTAAATATAACAAAAGACAAACTTTGTCCATGAATCCTTTATCAGTTTCTCTTAAGAATTTCCTCCACACCAGGAATACATATGGACATAAACAATCCGAACGCTCTCTCACTCACGTTAACATACAGGTATTTAATAAAAGGAAAAGCATTTCTACCTGAGAGGTCGTATCTCGCCGGTCCCATCCATCTCTTCCTCTCGCTGTCAGTTAGCACGTCGCCGTAGAAACCATATCCAAGCAGCGAGACGGAGTACCGCAGGAAGGTGTTGTTGTGGTGAACCGAGCACACGTCCATTGGCTGAGAGTCTCCTACACACACACACACATTAATATATTAAAGGTCACCTATTATGCAAAATCCCCTTCTTCATGTCTCTTCTACATCAACATGTGTCCCCTCTTCTTCATGTCTCTTCTACATCAACATGTGTCCCCTCTTCTTCATGTCTTTTCTACATCAACATGTGTCCCCTCTTCTTCATGTCTCTTCTACATCAACATGTGTCCCCTCTTCTTCATGTCTCTTCTACATCAACACGTGTCCCCTCTTCTTCATGTCTCTTCTACATCAACACGTGTCCCCTCATCACGTGTCCCCTCTTCTTCATGTCTCTTCTACATCAACACGTGTCCCCTCTTCTTCATGTCTCTTCTACATCAACACGTGTCCCCTCTTCTTCATGTCTCTTCTACATCAACACGTGTCCCCTCTTCTTCATGTCTCTTCTACATCAACATGTGTCCCCTCTTCTTCATGTCTCTTCTACATCAACATGTGTCCCCTCTTCTTCATGTCTCTTCTACATCAACATGTGTCCCCTCTTCTTCATGTCTCTTCTTCATCAACATGTGTCCCCCTCTTCTTCATGTCTCTTCTACATCAACATGTGTCCCCTCTTCTTCATGTCTCTTCTACATCAACATGTGTCCCCTCTTCTTCATGTCTCTTCTACATCAACATGTGTCCCCTCTTCTTCATGTCTCTTCTACATCAACATGTGTCCCCTCTTCTTCATGTCTCTTCTACATCAACATGTGTCCCCTCTTCTTCATGTCTCTTCTACATCAACATGTGTCCCCTCTTCTTCATGTCTCTTCTACATCAACATGTGTCCCCACTTCTTCATGTCTCTTCTACATCAACATGTGTCCCCTCTTCTTCATGTCTCTTCTACATCAACATGTGTCCCCTCTTCTTCATGTCTCTTCTACATCAACATGTGTCCCCTCTTCTTCATGTCTCTTCTACATCAACATGTGTCCCCTCTTCTTCATGTCTCTTCTACATCAACATGTGTCCCCTCTTCTTCATGTCTCTTCTACATCACCATGTGTCCCCTCTTCTTCATGTCTCTTCTACATCAACATGTGTCCCCTCTTCTTCTTGTCTCTTCTACATCAACATGTGTCCCCTCTGTGTAAAGAGACTCTGAAAGTTTCAGGAACAAAGATTCTCTCTCTTTTTGTCCTGATCCATTTCTATAAAAACCTGTCTGAAAATGAGCTGATCAGATTTTGGCCACTTTATGATGTCATAACGATGTTTTGGCTTGTGTAACCATTAGCCAATCACCAACCAAGCTATTAATTTCAGTTTTGCATGTTAACTGACCATTTTTATGAGAAATGGATGAATATAAAGCATGTGAATGTGCAATGTAAGCAAGAAAAGCAACCAAAAAGTGTCTTTATTTGTGTGATATTATCCATTATGGCTCATTTTATTTGTCCCTATAGGAGGAGCCTTTGGGCCTTTGACCCTCATCAGTCTTTGATCCTGTATACAACATTGAAACGACCTGAAAATACTTTATGTGTTAGTTGATGTGTAGTGACTGACCCACGATGATGTGCAGCGCAGAGGTCACGGGGTCGTTGCTGCCCACAGTGGCGAAGCAGATGCAGTCTGTCGAACCTGAAACAAACACACATTGTAAAAGTGAGGAAGTAGCCTATTTAAAAATACAACGTTTTTGTTAAATTGCACTTAATTGTGTGTATGTGTGTGTGTGTGTGTGTGTGTGTACCATTCAAGCACAAAAACAAAAGGATATAAACAGAACAGAATAAACTTTAATTTAGGCCAGGTTTGGAACTTGAATCTTTTTACCCGGCAACTGATAATCCTGCTCTCTGATTGGCTGACCGCTGTCTGCAATTTCAAAGTTCATCCAGCATTCTGAATCAGAGATATATTGAGCCTCTAGACTCTGGGTGTTTCTCAATGTCGAGGAGGCATGCTTGGTAGGACATGTACCTCCGAGTGAGTTCCTTCAGAAGCGAGGCAAGAATCCTTCCTAGCCTCGGAAAACTAAGAATGGAACAGGCTAACAGGTGTGCAGGTGTGCGTCTTATGCGAGGCCCCGCCTTACTTTTTCCGCCAAAGATTTGGGAAATTGGTCCGTGCGCAAAGCATTGTGGGGATTTTACGACCGGAGTCTACACATGTGCAGCCTCAAAATTTCCCTCAACGAAGGACGCCGGCCTCGGTAGAATTCCAAGCATCCTGGAAATTGGAACAGTCCTTCGGTGGGACTCGATGACGTAGCATCCTTGAAATAGTGGCTCTGGAGCAGCTTTCCTCGACATTGAGAAACACCCACTGTCAGTTATGTTTTTATTGTATTTATACATCATGTAGACACAAGCTGAGACAAACCAATGCGTGGCTTTCACAGTGTCTTGTTTATTTCTGTAAACAGTTTGTGGTTAAACTGTGAAATAATAAAAATCACTTTACATGTTGATAGACTGTTTTAGAAATATTTTTGTTATATGTTATCTGATGTATTCATGTGTATAAAAAGCACATCTATGATGTACAAGGTTTTTTACAATATTTTGAGTGATCATCATTAAAGATTTGCAATTTTTTTCTGTTTTTGGGAGTGCCTTGTTAGTCGAGTGGGACTTTAGTTGCATGTTATCAGTGGGAAATTAACATTTTAGATTTAAATCTAAGTATTGATGTGCTGAGGAAGGGCAAACAGGAAGGACTGACCTTATATTATCAGTCAAGACATATTCTGTCTTGACTGATAATATAAGGTATAAAGTTCGGCAGAGAACCCTATTTTCTCCCCATACTGCATGAAGTAAAGAGATTTAATTAATCAGAGAGTCTGTCATTCTTGAGATAACAGGCAATTATGATCACTTTAGAAGAACGTCCTCACTGTTTCAGCCCCCAATTACGGTCTCTGCCTTCATACTGTCACATAAAAGGTGAAAAAAGCACTTAAATAGGCTCTGAAAATGGTTTTATTTTCTTTTAATTGGCGTCTGTGTTTGATTTTTCTTGTTTTTGTGGTTTCTAACAGCTTTACACTATGTTAAGTTGGCAAAATGAGAAGTCAGACTGTTAAAAGATGAGTATCATGCAACCATAAGGACAGTTTAAACTAAATGAATGCATAGAAAACCTGCTAACAATGAACCAAAAGTGAACCTGGAACAATCAGAATTGTAAACTGCAGACTACATTAAATCAACCTAGGAACCGTTTCAAGGGTTCATTGAGCTTTTCCAAGCACCTTTTCAACCTTGCATTTTAAATCAACTGAAAGATAAAAGAACAAATTAATGAAGCAGTGTTTTTGATAACCAGTGTTTCTGACCTGCAGGAATGATGCCGATGCGCAGCGAGCTGGGGAGCAGGGATTCGTCGGCACAGTTTGGATCCACACCGCCGTCGATCTGCGACCTCCAGATCAGCCCGTGGATGATCTCGCTGAACATGCCGTCCCCCCCGACACACACCACCCTGAGCCGAGGGTCCAAGGGAGATGTTATAATCAGAGATGGCAAAAGTACACACATGCTTTACTCAGGTAGAAGTACAGATACTCGTGTTTAAAAATACTCTGGTAAAAGTAGAAGTGCTGACTAAACTTCTCAAGTAAAAGTAAAGAAGTATGGGCTTTGAAATGTACTTCAGTAAAAAGTACCCATAACTAGCAGCTGTTTTAAAGAGTACCTGACCTCCCTTTATATTAATAGAACAATAATGTCATTGTTAGCTAATGAATGTTTCCATGCTGAACAACGGCAACATGACAACGTTTTCATTGGTCCCTCTTCTTTAGAGAAGACCAGGAAATGATGGATACACGGATCGTGTTCAAATCAATAGGCACGCAATGACTCTAAATAATAATGATCACGCCACCAAACACACATTCAAACTAAAGGAACCAGCCTGTAGAAAGTACAGGTATTTGTGTTCAAAATGTAAGAAGTAGAAAGTACAGGTATTTGTGTTCAAAATGTAAGAAGTAGAAAGTACAGGTATTTGTGTTCAAAATGTAAGAAGTAGAAAGTACAGGTATTTGTGTTCAAAATGTAAGAAGTAGAAAGTACAGGTATTTGTGTTCAACATGTAAGAAGTAGAAAGTACAGGTATTTGTGTTCAAAATGTAAGAAGTCAAAGTAAAAAGTCGTCAGAAAAATAAGTAGTGGAGTAAAGTACTAATACCAGAAAAATGTACTTAAGTACAATAACGAAGTATTTGTACTCCACTACTTCTTACCATTTAAAAATAATAATAAAAAGGTACCACAGAATAACAGTCATTTTGGCTAAAAAGCATTTGTTGCATGTTAAAAGGTTTTGAGAATGTATTTTGTTTAACAAATATACTTAACTCAAGCTATATAAAAAAGGAGATGATATATCATTTATTCTTTTTACATTTCTATGCCTAATCAGTAGGTTTACTGTCACTCAAAGTGTAGAAAGTCTGCAGTACAAAAGAAGACAGCAGCATGAAGGATTTGTTCTCTGTGGTGCTTTTCATTTTGGCGGTGTCTGTGCCATATTTTATAAAGGAACTAAACTCTTAGGGCCCGTGTTCACATGGGGTCTTATTTATATTGTTTCCAAAGGTTAATAACAAGGTAGGTCCACAGGTAAATCATACGTTGGGGTTACATTTGAACCTATTTATTTAAAGTGGACCTATCATGCTATATTTGAATAATATAGTGTAGGACCATACCTATATATAAGGCATATTTATACTTTTTTTTTTTCAAAATACCAAACAGATCATGCATTTTAGCCATGCCTCATTTTGCTCAATTTGACAATTTCTAGCTGTTTTAGCAAGGGCAGATTCAGTGAGAACAGCACCATCTACTGGCCTGGCATATGTACTACAGCGTCTCCAGCGCTTTTGAACGGCAATGTCCGTGGCTGTCTCCTCCTGATTGGTGGAGTTGGCCCAATAGCCGTAGCGCCACTGTCCTGACGTCAGGACAGTGTTCAAATCTGGATCAGTTTTTATCAGATCCGTTGCAGCCCTTTTTTTAGAGATTTGGGTATGGAGGAAAATAGAGAGGGTTGTGTTTTCTGACACGTGGCGAGTTCTCTGGAACACCGGGGACACATATTCATGTATAAAAGACGTAGTGCATTTTGCATGATAGGTCCCCTTTAAGATTTAGTTGAACTTTTTTCCACAAAATACCTGATGCTGGAAGATCTTAGGTAGAAAGATAATGAGAATAAATATGGAACAAAATGTGAAGCATGCTCTCTTAACTAAAGAGACGTCAGGTTTAAACTGAAATCACTTAAATGTAACACTACTTATACGTTTGAATATATTTTCATCTAAGGGCCTCCAGTTAAAAATGTCTATACCTTTTTAGATAAGTGCTTGTGACTTCATTGTAGAGAATGGAGGAAAAGCTTGTTTTAACCCCATTAACATGTGGTCTAACGCCAGACAAACAATATCATAACTAAGACTAAACAAATTAATTTGAGGCAGCATATCGGCCGGGCGTAGACTGAATTGTGCTGCTGGTCGTGTTGTACTTTTATCGCCATATGCAGATCTTCTACCGCAGTCAAATTGAGCCGGGGAACCAATCTATACAAAGTATGAGGGCAAGCATCCTCCAGGTGTTGGGGGTGAAAAAAACAATGACAAACAAGTAGAAAATAGCACGAATAAAAGGGCAAAGGAGCGGATATTGTCGTCACGATGTTTTTGTAAAAGAAACAGGAAATAAAAATGACTTGGGAGATTTTTCTGGAACAAACACTCGGATGAATTTCTCCCAAATGCTTTTATTTTAGCGGTATGTCATGCTCTGCTTTGTGAAGGACCTGAACTCTCACCCGTCAAACTTCTTCAGCTCCACCTCCGTCCTCAGGTGGTCTCTTGCATAATTGGCGTGCTCCGTCACTATGACAACACACACAGACACCATGTGAGTTAGATACTTGATCACTAACACAGGAAGCTCAAAGACAGGAAGTGATGATGCGTACCGATAACGTGCGTGGTGACGCCGGCCAGGGCGAACAGCGGGGCAACCTTCTGCTCGTAGATGTGTTTCCCGTGTTTCTTCCCGCTGTACGGGTTGATGTAGACCAGCAGCTGTTTGGGTCTGCTGGCTGCAACAACAATCAATCAATCAACAACTTTATTAATCCCGCAAGGGGCAATTGGTTATGAGCAGTTTATGTCATGTACACAGGCAGGAACAGACAGGAAGAAAGCACACGGAGACTGGATGTGGATCATTCCAATTTACACGATAAATAGTTCATAGCATCACAATAAATAAGTCAATAAATAATCAAGTTAAAAAACCTATCAAGAATTTATAAGTTTGAGTGCAGAGGGGATGAATGATTTTGAAAAGCGATTTGTCTTAAGAGCAGGTTGAGCATATCTACGCCCTGATGGCAACAGATGAAATTCATCAACACAGAGTTACAGGAAGTGTTTGGCAACAATAGCGAGAGTTAGAGGCTGTACATATATTTAACATGTTCATACAAATGCTCAATCATTTTACTGTGATATCTTGTTTCAATAGTTACTTTATCACTTTAATTTTGCTGTATTATTATTTTAATTTGTATTCTATTTTATCTTCATTTTGACCTTGTGTGAATCCATTTGTTTCCTGTTTTTCATTCTGACACTGTTACTGCTTTTCCCAAGGGGATAAATAAAGTTCCATCTTATCTTAAAGGTCCCCTATTATACTGTTTTTCATCAATATATTACAGGTCTCAGATATATCCAAAACATGTCTCTGAAGTGTTTGCCTCCAAACACCAAACAGATCATTGCAGCATCCCAGAATCCCCTCTGTTTCAGCCCTGTTTCAAAAGAGCTGATTCTCTGTCTGTTACTTTAGATGAAAATAAGGAGCCCCTCCCCACGCCCCTCTGAGAGAGATTTGGTTAAAAAGAACACAATGGTGCTCTAGGAGGAGATTCAGGTGATAAGGTGGGGGGGGTTACCTTGGTTGGTGATTGGCTAATGGTTACTCAAGACAAAACATCGTTATGACATCATAAAGTGGCCAAAATCTGATCAGCTCATTTTCAGACAGGTTTTTATATAAATGGATCAGGACAAAAAGAGAGAGAATCTTTGTTCCTGAAACTTTCAGAGTCTCTTTCCACAGAGGGGACACATGTTGATGTAGAAGAGACATGAAGAAGAGGGGACACATGTTGATGAAGAAGAGACATGAAGAAGAGGGGACACATGTTGATGTAGAAGAGACATGAAGAAGAGGGGACACATGTTGATGAAGAAGAGATATGAAGAAGAGGGGACACATGTTGATGTAGAAGAGACATGAAGAAGAGGGGACACATGTTGATGTAGAAAAGACATGAAGAAGAGGGGACACATGTTGATGTAGAAGAGACATGAAGAAGAGGGGACACATGTTGATATAGAAGAGACATGAAGAAGAGGGGACACATGTTGATGTCGAAGAGACATGAAGAAGAGGGGACACATGTTGATGAAGAAGAGACATGAAGAAGAGGGGAAACATGTTGATGAAGAAGAGACATGAAGAAGAGGGGACACATGTTGATGTAGAAGAGACATGAAGAAGAGGGGACACATGTTGATGTCGAAGAGACATGAAGAAGAGGGGACACATGTTGATGAAGAAGAGACATGAAGAAGAGGGGAAACATGTTGATGAAGAAGAGACATGAAGAAGAGGGGACACATGTTGATGTAGAAGAGACGTGAAGAAGAGGGGACACATGTTGATGTAGAAGAGACGTGAAGAAGAGGGGACACATGTTGATGTAGAAGAGACATGAAGAAGAGGGGACACATGTTGATGTAGAAGAGACATGAAGAAGAGGGGACACATGTTGATGTAGAAGAGACATGAAGAAGAGGGGACACATGCTGATGTAGAAGAGACATGAAGAAGAGGGGACACATGGTGATGAAGAAGAGACATGAAGAAGAGGGGACACATGTTGATGTAGAAGAGACATGAATAAGAGGGGACACATGTTGATGAAGAAGAGATATGAAGAAGAGGGGACACATGTTGATGTAGAAGAGACATGGAGAAGAGGGGACACATGTTGATGTAGAAGAGACATGAAGAAGAGGGGACACATGTTGATGTAGAAGAGACATGAAGAAGAGGGGACACATGTTGATATAGAAGAGACATGAAGAAGAGGGGACACATGTTGATGTCGAAGAGACATGAAGAAGAGGGGACACATGTTGATGAAGAAGAGACATGAAGAAGAGGGGACACATGCTGATGTAGAAGAGACATGAAGAAGAGGGGACACATGCTGATGTAGAAGAGACATGAAGAAGAGGGGACACATGGTGATGAAGAAGAGACATGAAGAAGAGGGGACACATGTTGATGTAGAAGAGACATGAAGAAGAGGGGACACATGTTGATGAAGAAGAGATATGAAGAAGAGGGGACACATGTTGATGTAGAAGAGACATGGAGAAGAGGGGACACATGTTGATGTAGAAGAGACATGAAGAAGAGGGGACACATGTTGATGTAGAAGAGACATGAAGAAGAGGGGACACATGTTGATATAGAAGAGACATGAAGAAGAGGGGACACATGTTGATGTCGAAGAGACATGAAGAAGAGGGGACACATGTTGATGAAGAAGAGACATGAAGAAGAGGGGAAACATGTTGATGAAGAAGAGACATGAAGAAGAGGGGACACATGTTGATGTAGAAGAGACATGAAGAAGAGGGGACACATGTTGTTGTCGAAGAGACATGAAGAAGAGGGGACACATGTTGATGAAGAAGAGACATGAAGAAGAGGGGACACATGTTGATGTAGAAGAGACATGAAGAAGAGGGGACACATGTTGATGTAGAAAAGACATGAAGAAGAGGGGACACATGTTGATGTAGAAGAGACATGAAGAAGAGGGGACACATGTTGATGTCGAAGAGACATGAAGAAGAGGGGACACATGTTGATGTCGAAGAGACATGAAGAAGAGGGGACACATGTTGATGAAGAAGAGACATGAAGAAGAGGGGAAACATGTTGATGAAGAAGAGACATGAAGAAGAGGGGACACATGTTGATGTAGAAGAGACATGAAGAAGAGGGGACACATGTTGATGTAGAAGAGACATGAAGAAGAGGGGACACATGTTGATGTAGAAAAGACATGAAGAAGAGGGGACACATGTTGATGTAGAAGAGACATGAAGAAGAGGGGACACATGTTGATATAGAAGAGACATGAAGAAGAGGGGACACATGTTGATGTCGAAGAGACATGAAGAAGAGGGGACACATGTTGATGAAGAAGAGACATGAAGAAGAGGGGAAACATGTTGATGAAGAAGAGACATGAAGAAGAGGGGACACATGTTGATGTAGAAGAGACATGAAGAAGAGGGGACACATGTTGATGTAGAAGAGACATGAAGAAGAGGGGACACATGTTGATGTAGAAGAGACATGAAGAAGAGGGGACACATGTTGATGAAGAAGAGATATGAAGAAGAGGGGACACATGATGTAGAAGAGACATGGAGAAGAGGGGACACATGTTGATGTAGAAGAGACATGAAGAAGAGGGGACACATGTTGATGTAGAAGAGACATGAAGAAGAGGGGACACATGTTGATATAGAAGAGACATGAAGAAGAGGGGACACATGTTGATGTCGAAGAGACATGAAGAAGAGGGGACACATGTTGATGAAGAAGAGACATGAAGAAGAGGGGAAACATGTTGATGAAGAAGAGACATGAAGAAGAGGGGACACATGTTGATGTAGAAGAGACATGAAGAAGAGGGGACACATGTTGTTGTCGAAGAGACATGAAGAAGAGGGGACACATGTTGATGAAGAAGAGACATGAAGAAGAGGGGAAACATGTTGATGAAGAAGAGACATGAAGAAGAGGGGACACATGTTGATGTAGAAGAGACGTGAAGAAGAGGGGACACATGTTGATGTAGAAGAGACGTGAAGAAGAGGGGACACATGTTGATGTAGAAGAGACATGAAGAAGAGGAGACACATGTTGATGTAGAAGAGACATGAAGAAGAGGGGACACATGTTGATGTAGAAGAGACATGAAGAAGAGGGAACACATGTTGATGTAGAAGAGACATGAAGAAGAGGGGACACATGTTGATGTAGAAAAGACATGAAGAAGAGGGGACACATGTTGATGAAGAAGAGACATGAAGAAGAGGGGACACATGTTGATGTAGAAGAGACATGAAGAAGAGGGGACACATGTTGATGTAGAAGAGACATGAAGAAGAGGGGACACATGTTGATGTAGAAGAGACATGAAGAAGAGGGGACACATATTGATGTAGAAGAGACATGAAGAAGAGGGGACACATGTTGATGTAGAAGAGACATGAAGAAGAGGGGACACATGTTGATGTAGAAGAGACATGAAGAAGAGGGGACACATGTTGATGTAGAAGAGACATGAAGAAGAGGGGACACATGTTGATGTAGAAGAGACATGAACAAGTGGATTTTGCACAAAAGGTGACCTTTAAACAATAAGAACAATAACTATTAATAACATACTGATAGCTGCCAACTGCTCTCTGATGCTGGTGACCCAGCGTTGACACAGCGCTGCCTCCGGACACGTGAAGGAGACTTCAGCACACCGCCAGCGATGCTGCTGACACCTCTCCACGTACAGCACTGAAACACAACAGACACAAAGTCAATATTGGATATTTAATCACTTTTTCAGTGTTTTTCCAGAGGTGTTCACTTTATTAACCTGTGTGTAGCTGCTACTTATGACAAATGTAGATGCATGTGCCTCATGATGGGTTTAAATTGCAATTAATATGTGCGTTGTTTTAGTTGTAGCTATTCAACTAGTTAGTACATATTTCAAACGCAACTGTAGAAGGTAAGAAAATCAGAATCGGACGTGCTTATAAGTGTTTTCCAGGTGTGTTTAGTGCATTTCCAGGTGTGTTCCCAGGTGTTTTAATGTGGAAAAGGCTGTGTAGGCTTGCAATTTGTTACACCTGCAATTGCAAAATAAGCTACTGTGGAACATCATGAAAACACTTGGATCAAATAACTTAATCCGACACTTAAAAGAGTACTTTGTTTGAGGGTGTCTTGTTGTAGTTTTGGAGAAAATGTAAGTTATTTAATAGTCAATATTTTATTATTTACTCGCAATTTTATTTACATTTTTTTAATGTTTCCATGTCAACTATAGTATGTAAGAAAATCGGACTAAAGAATTGCAATCAAGTCATATTGTGTTTCTAAGTATTTTCCTGGTGTGTTTAATGTTTTTCCAGAGGTGTTTACATGTTTTAAGTGGGTCTGATGATGATAAATGTGTGTACATGTGTGTGTAAAGGTGTGTTAAATGTGTATCCAGGTGTGTGTACAGGTGTGTTTACCTGTGAAGGCCTGCCTGCAGTCCTTTCCTTCTCGCTCATTGATTTTTTTCCAGCTGCCATCGTCTTTGCAGCCGTTCTCCTCCTCTTCCTCTCTGACGGAGATGATCTCTGACACAGAAACACTGTGACACACACCTGAACACACAAACACACTTTGTTAGCCATAGGATACAGATCCAGGATGCATCAGATATTTCGGAGCCTCTTTGCAGCACATGAACATACCACAAGTTTCACGTTTTGCATTGTTTTAAAGGTCCCATGACATGGCCATTTCTACTGATCATAATTCCATTGTTGAGGTCTACTAGAATAGATTTACAATGTTCCAAACTCACATTGGTTTCTCATACAGCATCTCTGTATAGTATGTGTATTCACTCTCTGTCCTACACGCCTTGTTGGAGCTCCTGCCCCCCCCTCCCTATGAGCCCAGTGTGCTCTGGTCAGCTCGCCCACTCTCTTCTGATGAGTCCACCACCGTTACAGCGGAACATCAGTGATTATGTGTTACAATGGCGTTTGTTAGCAACTAGAAAATGACACCAGTAATGACAAACAGATGAGAATGCTGCGTGGGGTCTGGGTGCCGTGTTGGCGGGACGTTGCGGGGCTCGCTGCTGCGCCCTTTGAGGCTCGAGGAGCGGACAGTGTGAGCTGGATTACTGGTGTTGTTTCCTGGTTGCTGCGTAGGGTCTGCGAGACACCGCGGAACTCAGCCTGAACTCAGCCTGAGCACACACACACACACACTCACAGCCAGCTGAGTTCAGGCTGAGAAATCTGCAGAGCTGCGGCTGAGAAAAGATAAGGCTGAGAGACTGTGTGTGAGGAGCTCTGCGGATTGCTCCATTTGGACCTGGGCATTACATGTACATGGTTACGTCAATATACTCAGGAAGAAAACAATTGAAAAATAAAAATCTCCAACGAGGCGTTCTGGGGCAGCATAGACAGGTCTTTTCTGTGTTAGAGTTTTACTCACTACAGGGTGTACTTTGAGGGTTTGTAACTCTGCATACCGTTTACATGCAGAAAAACCTTCATAACACACAAGGGGACGGGTAATAACTGGAAAAGCATGACATGGGAGCTTTAAGAAATGAACTGAAACCAAGAAAGTTAAAAAGGTCATAATATTTTATTTTATAATATTGTTGTAAAAAAACATTTCATTACACAAATGTATTTTTTATTTTTGTTTCTCGCCCCATAAACAAGATTTTATTTTGTGTATTAAAATACTGCAGCATTATCCCTGTAACGACTTAAAACAGCTTTCTACGGACAGCAAATTGAATATCTTAATTATCTTAAGTTCACTCACTTTGCAACAAAATCAATCTGTTGACTACATGAAACGTCTATTAAGCAAATGATTGGCAGATCAATCAATATTGGAAATAACTGATCGGTGCAGCACAGTTAATCCAACAAATGGTTGACGGAAATAAATCAATCAAATACAACGAAGTGTAGTTAGTTCTTTTGACCGTCAGATGAAAAGAAAACTGTTAAAAAAACAGATAAGTGGTGGAACTATGCTAAGCAGGCTAACAACGCCACTGCAGATTTATCACACAGACATGAGATTTATATCCATCTGAACAGCACACTCTCACAAAGAAAGAGAAACATACCAAAACGTTGAACCATTCCTATAAGGAATATCGATAAAGAAGGATTTCTTTCTGAAGAAGCAGCACATGAATCTAAAAACTACAGCAGAGGAACTACAACTATGAAGGCAAACTACACACAGTGACCCAGGAGCAGCGAAGAGGACGGCATGTTTCTGCTGGATGTTGATGGACACTTCTGTACAAACATTATTCCAAAATGTAGTCAAACTTTTCTGAAATCAAGACAAAAGTACTAAAAGGGTCAATTTGTTCAGGTTCATATCAGTATGTAGTGTCTCTACTTTAAAGAGTCCTCTCCTGCTGATGTTCAGGTGTATATCAGTATGTAGTGTCTCTACTTTAAAGAGTCCTCTCCTGCTGATGTTCAGGTGTATATCAGTATGTAGTGTCTCTACAGTACTTTAAAGAGTCCTCTCCTGCTGATGTTCAGGTGTATATCAGTATGTAGTGTCTCTACTTTAAAGAGTCCTCTCCTGCTGATGTTCAGGTGTATATCAGTATGTAGTGTCTCTACTTTAAAGAGTCCTCTCCTGCTGATGTTCAGGTGTATATCAGTATGTAGTGTCTCTACTTTAAAGAGTCCTCTCCTGCTGATGCCAAGGTGTATATCAGTATGTAGTGTCTCTACTTTAAAGAGTCCTCTCCTGCTGATGTTCAGGTGTATATCAGTATATAGTGTCTCTACTTTAAAGAGTCCTCTCTTGCTGATGTTCAGGTGTATATCAGTATGTAGTGTCTCTACTTTAAAGAGTCCTCTCCTGCTGATGTTCAGGTGTATACCAGTATGTCGTGTCTCTACTTTAAAGAGTCCTCTCCTGCTGATGTTCAGGTGTATACCAGTATGTAGTGTCTCTACTTTAAAGAGTCCTCTCCTGCTGATGTTCAGGTGTATATCAGTATGTAGTGTCTCTACTTTAAAGAGTCCTCTCCTGCTGATGTTCAGGTGTATATCAGTATGTAGTGTCTCTACATGTCTCCATGCTTTAATGTTCAAAAAGCTCTTTATTCTTCTCATACTGCCTGTGCTGCAGCACCTCTTTTCACCCTCTGTCTGAAACCAGAGCCCAGTGTGCTCTGATTGGTTAGCTGGCCGGCTCTGTTGTGATTGGTCTACCACTTAGAGATGTCGCGCCCCTCTGGAGGGAACACAGGGATTGTAGCCTTTGCAGACCATTTACATGCACAAAAAACTATACACTACAGGAAAGGGAAAACCCCAAAAAGCATAATAGGGCCTCTTAAAATAAACCAAATCATTTTTTAAAGTTGTTTTTGTGTATTAATTTGCATAATTTTGGAAAGATAACTGCATGCAACAGAGTCCATAGTTCATCCATCAAACACAGAAACATGTTTTTTTTTTTTTAACAGCCACACCACAATCTAATCTAAACCCGCACTCACACCCAGGAAGAGGTGGCCCATTGCATTGTGGGAGCAACATCTCCTACCTGAGGCTTGACGACGAGGGAATGAAGGAACACAAAACCCTGCAGGAGAACCACAGAGTTACAAACACCCCCCAGAGTGGGTTCCCCCAGAGAACCTCAACCAGTAACCTAGTTGCACATTTACTCAAGAACTTGTACTTTATATGAGTATTTCCATTTAATGCTACTTTATTCTTCTACTTCATTACATGTATGTTACAGCTTTAGTCAAATTAGGATTTTGCTCAAATGCATGTCTTAACTTTGAACCAGTGGACCAACTGTTTGAGGTTCAATAATATACAACATATTTCCAAAAAGGTAAGAAAGAAAGTACATTATTTGTGTAACAGAACTGTGTTTGTTTACAACATTTAACAGCAACAATAATAATAATAACATAATATTGTCATATATGTTGTGGAGGTCATTTTTCTGCAGAATGACCACTTTTACTTTAAGATGGATAATACGCCTGTTTTTTCACACAAGTGAGATTTTGAATGTGGGACTTTTACCTGTAATGGAATATTTAAACCTTTATGCATCGTTACTTTTACTTAAAAAGGCCTTATTCTGCTCAATATCAGGCATATATATATATATATATATATATATATATATATTTAGTCCTAGCCAATAGGAGCGCGAGTTCCATAGTGATGTCACTTTGTTCAAGAAGGAGGAGCATACAAAAGTCCCTCAAATGTGTCCTTAACTAGAGCTCTGCTTCCATCCCGGCACTAAGGAATAAGAGTTGTATTTTTTAGGAAATTAAAACGAAATGGTGCTGCATTTAGAATACTGTAAAGCATGCATGTGGTTTGGTGTTTTGTTCCCACCACCTGCAGCCTCACTGTGACCTCCACATATTGTGTGTCACAGTGTGTGTTATGTAACCGGATATATCATGTCTCACTTACTGTTACAGCCTGGAGCACATCTTGGTGTTTCCAGTGCGTTGATGTGTGTGTTATCTCCATATAAATGTATTTTTTGCTTTAGTTTCTCACCCCAACACACATAATTTTACAAGATTTTATTTTGGAGATTTGGAACGTTTACTTTCACCGTATACTATGTTTTTAGTGAATAGAACTTGAACGCATCATAATGTAACTCAATGCTTACTCACTGTAGTTATGTAATGTTTACATTTTATTTTACACTATTTTATTTGGATTTGTATTGTATTTTATCTAATTTTACTCCATATTATTAGTATTTCATATATATTTTTGTTGTATTTTAATAAATTTTATTTTACTCCATTTTATTGTATTTCATTTAATTGTACTCTATTTGATTTGTTTTTTATTTCATTTTATTTTACTCGATTTAAATTTGTATTGCATTTTATTTTACTCGCATTTTTATTTTTATTTTATGTGTATTTTTTATTGTATTTTATTTGTTTTTACTATACTCAATTGTATGTGTATTTCATATTCTATCGTGTAACTTATTGTCACAGCCTGGACCACCTCTGGGTGTTTTCAGTGCATTAATGTGTGTGTTGTCTGCAGGTTTTAACACAGGCTGTGTGTACCCTCTGTTTGTCCTTTGTTTATCACACAGGATGCCTCGGTGTGTTAAAGGCCAACAGACACACAGATAAAAGAGGCAATGATGCACACATAAACAGACACATCATCCGGGTCTTACTGGGTCTGAACGGGTGGTAAACCGGACTGGAGGCCCGTCTCTTCCAGGTCAGCAGGGACCGACTCAGACTCACATCGTACGCCGAGTTTCTGACGCGCAGCTCGGATACAAGCAGCAGTCTGCTCGGCCTCTCCATCTGTGGTTCTGCTCCTGGTCCTTCAGCCGGCTGAGGAGGCAGCAGCAGCAGCCCGGGAACGGTTACCTCTGTCCGGGCATGTTCTCTCTGTGTGTCCGGAGGGGCTCCAAACCCCGAAAACTAGGATCAAAGCACCGCGGTGTTACAATGTAGCGGATCTGTGTGCTCGGGATGTTTTTTTCTGACAGATAGCGGTTTCTTACCGGAAGGGGGAGGAGCCTGGTGCTGCGTTCATGTACTGCCAGAAAAACTAGTGACTTATCCGACCGGCCCACTTCGGTACCGGCCCATCGGGATTCGTCCCGAACGTCCCGATGGCCAGTCCGCCACTGCCTCCAACAGTGCAACACAATAAAACAGATAAAATAGTGCAAGAAAATAAAATGAAATAGAATATTGTAGATAGTGCAGAATAATGTGTCCCAAAATCAGAGCCTGAACTGTTTATAGAACGGTATAAAAATACCTTGTAATGTATTAATTGATAAACATGTTGTATTTAACAACTGTTGTCAGATGAATGTAGTTTAGTAGAAAGTGTTAGGGAATAATTCTCCTAGATATCCACCTTTTGCCCTTTGACGTTTATGACCAACCCTGACGTCTGTTATCTCCCTTAAGGAAAGGGCTGCTTCAGCCATATGTTGTTGTTACCAGTTTATGACTGAGCAACTCTCGGTCACAAATGGTTTATTGTTGTGGGTACACTGGAACACTTCCTTCTTGGGGTTTTTGGACTCCAAGGTGTGAAATCTGCGAGGCCATAAGTGTCAGACGCAAGTAATTCAGTGTTCCCAGCTGTTCAGTCTATCTCCTCAAATATGTTGATTACTCTCTGTGAACTAGTTAAAAGGTCTATCGAGAGAGAGGCTCTTCAGAATTGACGTGGCAACTCTACCGTGCAGTCAGAACCTCTGACTCCAGATTTGTTTTGTGAATTCTCCGGCCGAAGCTCCTAAATAAACCATCAGTGTTTGACATCAAAGCTCCAGCTCTCCCCGTGTCTCCTTCCTGAGTCGGTGAGTAGGATTTAGATTGCGGGGCTTTTACTTGTAACAGAGTATATGTCTTGATATTGCACCCACTGTTACCTGGTCAGATTAAAATACTACATGAAACATATTCAGTTTAATACATTTATAATTTAGTTTTTGTTTTTGTTACTGTACTTGAGTTATAATTCAAAAATGTTCCAACCTGTTGTTACATTTATTTCCCAAAAATCTAATAGCAAGTCTCATTAAACGTGTGCAACACAGAATGTATGCTTTTCAGAAAAAGAAAAAAGTAATATCCATAGATAAAAGTAAGATTAAAGGAGGGACTAGAATCACATTTGAGGGTTTCATGACGTAATCTAACAACATTTTCAATAAAAAAAAGTATTATCCTCCCCTCTTTCCTATTGGTTGTCTGTATTTATGTAAATATCCTTTTAATTCCTACATTTCATGCAACACTTGAAAGCATCAGAACTGTGTAGCGTCTGTCGTCATACGTCATCACGTCCTCTGACGGATCCTGGAGGAAGACGCTCTGCTGGAAACAATTTTTTTCAATAGTTCAAAATTAGGTCACACAGTTCAAAGTAAATGCATGTTTTACAGCAATACACGATAATGTTATATATAAAAGTAATACACTCAATTCTGACTGTTTACTAGTAAAGTTTCCTGGTACATCGCCTATATTTTGTGTATCTGATTTACATATCCAATGTAGGACTTTCACTACTAGTTTAATTAATATTTTGCTGTAGGTGTTAGGAAAATATCACTCGACACCAGGTTGAGAATCAATAATCAGGTACTAATTTATTCTTGCAAGAAGGAGCAGAGTTAAATCACATACAAAGGATATGGGTTAACTCACACACTCGGGGTATGTTGCTCAACGGAGCAGCAAAAAACATCAGGTTTATATAGTCCAAAACACGGAGATAGATAACAACAAAGTCGTAAATCGAGGTGGCACTAATATCATCCGCGGGTGTCGGAAAGGTGTCGGGGACATCTGTGACGTATTCTGGAAAGAGTCACGTTCTTCCTTCACGCCTCTTAGAAATGAGATATTTAGGAGACAAGTATGGGTCTGTCTCCTCTTAAATATCAACAACCCGAAATGCCCTGCCTCCTCCTATCACAGCAAGAGGCAGCTGCAAGGTCATGTGTCACACATAGTATCAGTGCATTAAAATAAACCATAAAATGGAGACAACAGTATTTCTCCAACAGTATAGGGTATGAATTCAAAACTCAAAATGACCCACATACTACCTCTAAATCTGAAAATAATAATGAAAAGGTGAAATATCTAGGTACATTTACTGCAGCAAAACCTCTTGTGTGAAGGATATTTTATTATAAGTGACATAATTAGATTGTAAAACTGAATGATGAACGTCAAATCGGCATTTTACTGATGTGGCTGCTCAAAATGGAGAGACAGTTTTACTTATTTTATATACAGTTGGTTGATTTCATCTTGAAGCTTGATCCTATTTCATATTTCAAAATAATTTCCATATCCAATGCAAAAACATCGACTGTAATTACAAAAGGGCTGATTCAAAATCCACACTTAAAACAAACCTCTTACCATACTTTTTCAAAGATGTTTCCAGGATTAGAAAAATAAATTCAAGGTTTTCCAAGAGATGTGTTGCTTTATTTTCACAGCAGGGGGCGATAATGCTCTCTGTGTTGAGATTCTCTGAGAACATGATTCCTGTTTCACCTTTCAGTCATTTTTCTTTGATCGAATGAGTTTGAATTGATCCAATAAGATTTCAAATGGTCGTTAACTTAATACTCAAACGTTTTAACCTCCACAGGGAGACCATTTAAATGCTCAAAATCCTAAATAACACACTACAGTGAAGGGAAAAGCCCAAAACGCATAATAGAGCCTCTTTAATATTCACTAATGAGATGCAGTGGAAGTATAAAGTAGCATTAAATGGTAGTAAAGTAAAGAACAGGACCTATATTTGAACTTAAGCACTTAAATATACTCTTGCCTCATTCCACCACTGACAAATACTTTCAAATACAAGTAAAAGTACAACACTATAGGAACTAAATCAGGGGTCTCCGGGGGCCAAATGTGGCCCGCGGACCATTTTGAATCGGCCCTCAGCAAATTCAAAAAGTATAATGAAATATGGCCCACAAATGAAACTTGTGCTTGTCTTATATTGTACTTCTTAAATGTAAACATATATCACACATTCATGTGTTAATAAAACCACTTTACAAATGAATTCAGTCAATTCAAGTTGGAAACATTTTCTAACATATCTTAGTTGATAAGAAAAAAGCCCAATGACTTATTTCCATAACAAGCTTGAAATACACCCTGCCTATTTCTCCTTATTATAATCAATCTGAGGGATGAGCTGCCAACACTCACAAGCATAATTTACCTACATCTGATTAATTTAGCTAACTGATAACTGAACTTATGAGGCGATGTACCTCTAGTGAGCGGCCCAGCCCTTCGTATATTTCTCTGTATGTGGCCCTCGGTGAAAGAAGTTTGGACACCCCGATCTAAATGTTATTATTAATAATGCAGACTGTCAGTGTTTTACTATTCAGCTGTTTTGACGTGAGCTTTCGGAAGATTTCCTCCAGTTCATCACTGAGTTTTCAAGCTTTTAAAGACTTTTATTTTGAAGTATTTTGACCCTGCTGTGACCTCCATGTTCCAGGTCACAGCAGCCGTCCTCTCTTCCCTCGAGAGGTGGAGGGCGGAGATGGATGAATCTGACAGGAAGCTCCTCTCCGGCCCGTGATGGATGCCGCTGCCACCGACACTCAGCGAGGGAACAAGGTGGCTCGGTGGCAAAGAGGAAGAGGAGGGAGGTCAGGGTTATTCTTAGAAAAATAGATGATGAGCCCTTTGCTCTGCACTCTCTCTGTGACGCATGGTGACAGCTGAGAACAATCAGGTGATCGGAAAATGGACGTTTGGCGAGCTGGCAAAGCACCTGTCCCTGCACGGTAACAACTAGAAATGTTGCCAGAATATGTCTTTACACTTGATATAAGACATAATAACTTTTATAACAATAAAAGAAGCAGAGTAGTAGCATTCATAGGGCCTTGTGACCTAAGATTTTCATTGTCATAACTACACTGGAGCTATGCACGTATGACCAAGCCTTGAACCTTGAACCATAGGGTCAGAGCAGAGGACCTATTGTTATTACTGTAATTTATTTTGTATCATTATAATTTACAAGTAATGATTAGCATTTTTGAAAGCCTTATCATGCTGAAATGATGGAGATTATTCGCAAACTTGTCAGGATTGGTGAAAAAATTGATATTTTAGGGGTTTCATTATCAATGCAGGCAAAACAGCTCTATAGCGCCCTCTACAAGGTTGCTAACATACAGCCCCTCGTTGTGCTTTCATCTACAAGTCTGACATTTTGTAGGCATGTTGTGAGACGCCCAGAAAAGTCTCTTGGAGGCATATTGTAAACCCAACAGGAAGTCGACCAGTTTTAAATGTATGTGCCATTTTTGGTGCCATCTTTCAACAAACTCCTCCTACAGTTTTTGTCTGATCTTCTTACAATTTGGTCAGGGTGTTTTATTGCATTTGTCATTAGCATTATTACAGTGTTCAATGGCTTGTTCACAAAGTGCTTATGATATGTTTGATGATGTTCTAGGATGTGTTTATTTTGACATCAATCCATTTAGGAATGGGTTTTTTTTTTCAGTTTATAATATTTTTAGATGAACTGATGATTTAACTGATTTTCTTTGAACATTATTATAATCTACTGGTGAAAACTGCTGATTTAATTTGGGGTCTTGGGGTTAGACAAATAACAAATGCTCACTAATTCAGCCTTTAACCCTTATGTTGTGTTCGGGTCTCCCGTGACCCGTTTCAAGTTAAAATTATATATTAACTACGCTCTAGTTTTTTTTATCGGAACAAGGCTTCATGATATCCTCCACAACAGATATATAAACACTACAAAACTGATTTTGACCATTTTAGCCAAGTCTGAAGGTCTCTAAAAAAAAAGTGTATAATTTGGAGACCCAGCAGAATTGTTGTGGGTGACTCGGGGTCAAATTTGGCCCAAACAAGATTCATCTTTGACTTTAGACACCCCTCCCCCACCCCCTTCATACACTGTAACCAAGGGTGTAACT